ATGTGAGCAATATAAACAAAGGACAAGCAGTAAGTCCACCTCATTTTTATTTCCAGTATTGCTTTTCATCATTTTTGTTAACTAAATATGCCAAACACAACGAGGATCAAGATATCTCAGTGTATTTATAATCAGTTTAGTGCAAGATCAAAGTCAAAAAGGACAAAAGCCATGCTGTGTGCCTGAGAAAACGGGCCAAACTAGTCTATTAAAAATGTGAACATTGATAGAGAAAACAGGCATTTTGCATTGCAATATTAGAATAAAATGTAATGTCAAGAAATTAGATTTCTTTATATATATATATATATGTGTGTGTGTGTGTATATATTCATATTACATCACATCACATCATATTTTCAGTACACTCTAAAAAATGCTGGGTTAAATACAACCCAGTGCTGGGTAAAATAGGGACAAACCCAGCAATTGGGTTGTTTTGACCCAGCGTTTGGGTTACTACCCAGAAGGTTGGGTTAAACATTTAACCCAACCACTGGGTCAAAACAACCCAATTGCTGGGTTTGTCCCTATTTTACCCAGCACTGGGTTGTATTTAACCCAGCATTTTTTAGAGTGTATGATGTCTTTAAAGAAAGTTTATTCATCAACTTTTATTCAGACATTTATAATGTTACACACATTTTTTTTCAGATAAATGCTGTTTTTTATTTTCTATTAATCAAAGAATCTTGGGAAAATGTATCATGGTTTTCACAAAAATGTTATGCAGCACAACTGTTTCACCGTTGATAATAAAAAGAAATGTTTTACCAAATTTAGAATAATTTCTGAAGGATCATGTGACACTGAAGACTGGAATAATGATGCTGAAAATTCAGCTTTGCTATCACAGGAATAAATTACATTTTAAAATATATTACTATAGAAAACAGTTATTTTAAATTGTATTCCAATTTCCCAATATTATAGTTTTTACTGTATTTTGATCAAATAAATGCTGCCTTGGTGAGCATAGGAGATTTCTTGCAAAAACATTCACAAATCTTACCAACCCCAAACCTGAACGGTATTGTATTTTGGCTTTCGGTAGCCTGTTGTTCAGGATAATCATTTTTGTCAATTTATTGCTGTCTTTAGGGAAATGCAGGTCTTCATTCCAGGTCTTAATGAGATCTTAATTGAACATGTGTTTGTCTCTCCTGAAGGTTCCCACTGAGCTGCCTTCTGAAAAAGCATCCAGTGACGTCAAGCAGGAGTCTTCTAGCTTACCTCGTGAGACTTCAATTTAAGTCTTAAAGGGGTCATATGATGCGATTTCAAGTTTTCCTTTCTCTTTGGAGTGTTTCCAACAGCACAGCAGACATCACAACAGATCACAGACTCTCCTGAGATGACTTGAAATCTCCTTATTTTGCTTTAATGTTATGATATATTAAAGAATTTTCAGTGAAAACGGACAGTGATAAATGTTCACAAATATGCTGTGAATTAATTTCTGCAAATGTAGTCTGAAATGTGCTGAAATACAGTCTGTCTGTCTGTCTGTCTGTCTGTCTGGGGGAAGTCGTGGCCTAATGGTTAGAGAGTCGGACTCGTAACCCAAAGGTTGCGGGTTCGAGACTCGTACCGGCAGGGATTGTAGGTGGGGGGAGTGAATGTACAGCGCTCTCTTCCACCTTCAATACCACGACTGAGGTGCCCTTGAGCAAGGCACCGAACCCCCAACTGCTCCCCGGGCGCCGCAGCAATAAAATGGCTGCCCACTGCTCCGGGTGTGTGTTCACCCCGGGTGCCGCAGCAAAAATGGCTGCCCACTGCTCCGGGTGTGTGTGTGTGCACTTTGGATGGGTTAAATGCAGAGCACTAATTCCAAGTACGGGTCACCATACTTGGCCACATGTCAAGTATGGCACACTTTAAAAAAAAAAGATACTTTTTATTTGTTTCAAGAATTGTAGACCAAATATTAGGTATTTAACAGGGCTTGTAATGCCTATATGCACAATCCTGTTAGTGTGATTGGAACAGCATGTTTGTTTGCTTCGTCTCAAAGGACCTTTCTGACTGTGTGCTATACTGTGAAGCATTGTTGTTCATTGGCACATCTGCTGATCATGTAATAATTCCACAAAGGCTATAAATTCTCATTTTATTTATTCAGGATGATGAAGATTGCCCATGTGTTAAATGAAGAGTGTTCTGTAAACCGAAATGGTCTTTTATGAAAAATTTAGTGCATGGGTAAACATGAGTGTTTCAGAAAATTCACTTACCATGATGAGACTGACGTCATTTTTAAGTGCTTATGCAGTCATTGTGAGATAAAAGCAAATGTTGTGTAGTGCTTTTTTGACCTGAAAAACATAAAAGAACATTACACTTGTTTAGTCTTTTCCAGAGAGCACAAATCAATCTGTCAGTATGTGTACCACATTAAGAATGTGTTTCGTTCAAAAAGGAATGTGATCCATTTACAAGAGTGTGTCACTGACAGACCTAGAGAAGTTTAATGAAAATGTCACACCTCAGACGTGTGGTAGAAAGAAGCACTATTATTATATAAGCCTAGGTTTGCCGTTTATTAATAATTTTTTGTATTTTAGAAGCATATTGAGCTTTTTCAGGATATTTTTTGTATTCATTTTTGGTTTCAATTTGTACTGTTTCTACTTAGTATACTTGTTGGTTAAAGAAGGCAGCTGTGCAAACTTGAGTTTCACGTGATTGTCACAAATGACGCTGGGAAATTCACTGTAAAGTAAAACTCTGTGCAAGATCTCATTTGCATTGCAGTCTGGACACTGGAGGAGTGGAAATGTGTCATGTTTCTATCACTGCTGTTGTAAAATAATAAAAATAATCTTGTCAAAATTAAGTTATGCTGTTTGCTGATTAAAAAAAACTTTTACTTTCAATAAAATGTGAAATAATAGACATAAATATATTGCAAATGTTTGTCATTTAAAACAGTTTTTTTTTTATGTGATCATTATGATCATTCTCATGCAAAGAACTTCCATCCTAAAATTTGCAATGGCATCCATGTAGTTTCTTATTTAGATATACAATTTATACTGAGAAATTAATACCATGAAAGTGTAAAATATTATTATTATTATTATATTAGTTTCCATTAAGTTACATCTTTTCTACTCATTATAGTACTGTGAGGTAAGATTTACTTACTTACTGTAATCTAGTTGTTACTTATTTACATTTAAAAAAAATATTTATTAATTTTTACACTATTTTTCTCTGAATTTTTAATGGGCCTACTACCACTCTCTTGAGGCCACATGAATATACACTGTATATGTATGTATATATATATATATATATAATAAGATTTCTTGAAAGACGTTTTAGGAAGTAACTAAATCTGTATTAAAATATTATGATGCCGTCGAACATATAGTTAGTAATTAGTAGGCCTATAAAGTTTACAAGAAAAACAACTATAGATAGCACACGTTAAACTGAGATTATCTACAAAACAGCACGGAGTATGTACACAGATTCAGCTGTTCGGGCTGAACGAATTCCAAGTCCCTAGTCTTTGATGAAATGCAAACCTTTCGAAGGGTTGGAGTACCCTCTAGTGATCATACAGGACAGTTGTCATTTGTCACTCGTGACTAAAACGCCATTCGGTTGGAATTAAATGCGCTTTAGATGTGTTTTATCGCAACAACTGTCTTGTTTGGGGTTTTTTGAACTTCACCTTGAAGGAAGAGCAGAAGCTAAAAGCATTCTGAAATAGTTGGGTAAGATATATTTCTTATTTCAGACACCTAGAGGAGATAAAAATGACAGTCGAAATAGAAATATACTAAAATATAGAAATATACAAAATATATTTAAATAACATAAAATGTTTTATCTTATAAATGATATAAAATATATTCACAGCTAATGAAATAAGCACATATATACAATTTATACTTTATACTATTTATAAAATAATCATTCGTCAACCTGGTTCAAGCCTTGAAGCCTCTGCTAATGAGCTGATGTTCAGGTGTGCTCTATAGGGGAAACATTCAAAATATGCAGCACTGGTAGATGATTCAATCTGATGATTCAATCTGCGCATACACCTTCTGTTGGAGATGGGAGATATCTGAAAGATGCTTCTGTGCCCGAACAATGAGTAACAGGGCGTTGTTACATACCACCACTACTCAACAGGAATAACAGGGCAACAGGAATGAAAAAATATATATTTTCTTATGAAATTGTAATTAAATATAAGCTAATTCCATATCATCCATATGTTTTAGACACTGGGTATTTCTTCTTTATCGGTAGAACGACACTCTGAGTTAGGGTTAATATAGTTAGCTAAACTAACTAAAACCTTAAAAATGCATTACTGTCACTTGAAATTAAATAAAACCGAAATAAATACTTTTTTATTTAAGCTAGTTTTCAAGGAAACATTTTTAATTTAGTATAACTTTAATGTACTAAAATACTAAAACTGAAATAAAAATGACTAAAAGCTATATAGGCATAAATAATAATAATAATAATAATAAAGCTTGAACTAAAATAATAATAATAAAAAAGGAGAAGATTCAAATAAAAACTAATTCAAAATAATAATAAAAACCATAATAGTATCTCAATGATACTAAAATAACACTCCTGTGAGTTTTTACTTTCATGTGTTTTGAGGCCATTTTAAACGGAAAGAATGATAAGGTGCAACAATTATTTTACTTATTAGAAAAAACGTAGCGACTGTTAAATCGTTAATGACCTCAACGTACATTTTTAAAATGGTATAATATATTTTTATGGTTTGGGTTTGACATACTACACTATTACTTTAAATGCACATTTTAAAAGCTCACAAAAAAAAACCCCTGCTGGACACAACGAAGGTTCACGCCCATTTCCGCCACTTTGGCCAATCACGTGCGGATCTATTGCCCTTATATGGAATTGAACCCGCCTCACTTTGTTGCTTCATCCAATGAAAAGCCAATAGAACGTGGTTGGCTGTAGTTTATGGCGATACAATAACAGTATCAAAAAACGCTAGAGTGAGTGACCGTTGTTGAGACCGTCAGTGAAAGCGGTTACACGCCTTCTCAGGATATCAGATCGTTCATTATTAGCCTACTCTACAGTCAGGTGTTAAATTATTCTACCGTGGATTATTTAGCCCGTGATCCCTCCGCAGGAGTCGGACACCTCATCGGTGTTTTTAGCGAAAGGATGAAGTAGTTTCTGTGGCACACTGAGATCCGGAGCTGATCGCCAACTACAGTAACGTTATGCGGTTTATTGGGAACATATATGACCATTTCTGATCTGAAGCTCACTCAGTAGTTTGCTACAGAAATGGTATCGCTGACCATTTTTCTGCCTTTGGCTCGTTTTCAAACCTCCTGAATTTTTACACTTGAGCAGGACCGAGTGGGTTTTGGCACATTAGTATACATGCTCGAGGCGCAACATGTCTTTGTACATGAGTGCTGGGCAGTCATAACTGATCTGGGGAAAAACAAGGGGAAACTCCCCTCCGAAGACTCCTGAACAATGACCGGACCAAGCGCCACCAGCAGCGGCTCAACGGCCAAGATCAGCAGACACGGTCGGTCTAAGAGCAGCAGTACTTACTGTCACACTACCGGTCCGGCTGCTGAATCCTCCTCATCCACTGCCGCGAACAACACTGGTAGGTCGTCCGGTGAGGAAGAGGAGAAAGACGGCGGGGTCCCGTTTTTCGTGAACAGGACGGGCTTTCCAATAGACACCGTCACCTGGGAGAGAATGTGGTCACACGTCACCAGAGTTCATCCCGATGGACAGGAGATGGTGGATAGAATACGAAATGCAACACACCTCCCTAAAGTAAGTCGAAAGTAGTGGATTATTTATGTAGGCAGTGTCTGAGTCTCAAAACCCAGTGAGCTGTATGCCTAGACAATATTTTGGGTGTCATAAAGATGTCCAAAAATGCTGTCTTGATAATGATACCCCAAAATGTTATCTTGTTAGGAAGCTCATGTATATGTGATACACAAAATGTTGATAGGCAGCTTATTTATATAATCCCCAAAAATGTGGTACCCCAAAATATCTAAAAATGCTGTCTAGCTATGGCAACTTATTTATATAATGTCCAAAAAAGCTGTTATGTTGGGCAAGTTACTTGGTTTTGAGTAACAGCCACTGTATGTGTGTTTGTACAGATGTACAGTTAAAAAACAATTACCGGTAATGCAATGGATAAAAAAAGGACAATTGTCATACAATTGTTTTACATGTTTCTAGACATCTTTGAAGTACAATGGTACATGAATATAATAATTTTTTACCTTGGTATATATTAAAGTTTTCAGAGATAATACCATCTGATACATCACTGTACTATGGTAAACACATCTTCTCTGTCAAAGTAATATTTGACATAGTAACGTACAAAAGTTTGGGGTCAGTACTAACCATTTTTGTTTTTTGGAAGGAAATGGAATATTTTAATTAGCAAGGATGCGTTTAATCGATTGTACGTGTCAGTAATGGTAGATACGCAAAAAGTATCACGTCTACCACGAAATATTAAGCAGCACAACTGTTTTAAACATTAATAATAAGAAGAAATGTTTCTTGCAAACCAAATCGGCATATTAGAATGATTTCTGAAGGATCATGTGACACTGAAGACTGAAGTAATGGCTGCTTAATATTTAGCTTTGCCATCACAGGAATAAATGACATTTTAAAATATATTAAAATAGAAAATTGATATTTTAAATTGTAATAATATTTCAAAAATATGACTGTTTTTACTGTATTTTTGTTCAAATAAATGCAGCCTTGGTGAGCATAAGATATTACTTTCAAAAGCACACTCACAAAAAAAAAATCAACAGTTGAACCTCAAAATTGGCCTATATATGAAACCTTGGACACATTTACCAGAATAATGTTTATATATAAATAGCATCTCACAAACTGCCATTTGTGTGACCCAGTTTCCACCAAGAGGAAGTGCAGACTATGTGACATGTGAGTGGATTTACACTGTGCTACATTGTCCCTTCTCATAAATTTCATTACAAACCAGGCAAATGAGAGATCTGTTCCAACCAATGACAACTATGCAGAAACATGCCTCTGTTAATGCACATCAAATGAGGAATGATGCCATGTGACATTTTAGGACTTTCACTAGGATTAAGGTTGCTGCCATGTCCCTTTGTCACAATTTTGTTTTAACCTCCAAACATAAACCGATCAGACCTGATCAGGATTCATAGAGCATGCAGATTGAAGGGCCTCGGAGGGGAATAAAGTGAATCTTAATCACAGACTACGTAATCCTCAGTGCTCAGACGGACAGCATTCACAGGGTCAAGCAGTGTGTTTATTCTGGCTCTTTTGTTTTAGTTAACACTATTGTGCATTCCAGCATGCTCATTTGTGCTGATGCGTGCAGAACAAAGGCGTCTGATTGGTCGCAAGTGTTGAATCAGATCCCTAGATGTTAAAGTGATTTATTAAGGGACATTCCCCACCAGCAAGTGTTGAACAGGTGCGTGGAGTGACTCCATCAGATCAACCAGATTAGGAGTCACGCGAACGGCTGTGACACTAGCCAGACATGTTAGAGCCATAGAGTGACAGTCCATGGGAAAGAACTCACTGTGAACCTGTGAATGATCACATTGATGGAGAATCAGAGTCTCCAGGACCTTGGATCCAAGGACACGGCAGTTATTATGTAAACAAACCACATAGGCTACCAGTACAGCGGTGTCCATGCTTGTGCAGTTTAACAATATTTATAGCACAGATGCATTCCTAAAATCATCTTTTGGGTTTGTTTTTTGATACAATCCATTTGCTAGTGTGCTATTACAGATAATCCACATAATTTCTGTTGTTTTGTCTTGGTAAAAATGTATCCCATCTTCCACAGAATTATTAAGCATGCAGCACAGCTGTTTTCAACATTGATATTAATAAGACATTTTTCTTGAGCACCAAATCAGCATATGAGAATGATTTATGAAGGACTATGTGTGACACTGAATGCTGGAGTAATTGCTGCTGAAAATCAAGCTTTGCTATCACAGGAATATATTACATTCTAAAAGATATTAAAACAGTTATTTTAAATTGTAATAATATTTCAGAGTGTTACAGTTTTTGCTGTATTTTTGATCAATCAGTTGCATTCTTGGTGAGAATATGAAGCTTCTTTCAAAAACATGAAATCATTTCACCTACCAAGACCTAGCAATAATCCCATTTAAATGGTAGTGTATGCATGCCGAAATGTAGCCAATCCTTTGGTTTTTGGATGCAATCCATTTGCTAGTGTTATTAGGGATAATCTGCATAATTCCTGTTGTTTTGGCAGTTGGGCCTTTATCAAATTGTTTTTGGGGCACTCCTTGACATCTCAACCAAAGGTCCCCAGCTAAAAATGTGTTCTTTATGGTGAAAGAAATACATAAATGAAGAATAAAGCCAAAATATTAAATGTTATAATATTTACTAATCCACTATTTCTGAGGCCCTATATGATTCTGTCAAAAAGCATGTGTGTGTCACTTTGCATACAGCTGGTTCATCTGTTAAAGAGGAATGTCTGAAGAACAAATAATGTGGAAACTAGAAATATATCCTTTTATCAACATACCTGTCCCAAAAAAGATTATTTTTCCAAAGTTTCCGTGACTGTAACTCGGAATGACCCATTTGTTTTCTGCAATGACTTTGTTACTGTAACGACTGAAAAGTGTACATCTGTTCTCTTAGATGGACAAATGTTCTGCGCAGCTTGTATCGTCACCTACAGTATGTGAGTCTCAAGTTTCGCTACAGTCCCACGGGTGGGCAGAGGTCAGCTAACGGCCCTGTGAGTGTGGATTGTGGCCTATTTATTGCTGACCTCCTTTCAGGGAAGGAGAGACCCAGTTGAGCCAGTGGAGTAGAGCCTAGATGTAAACGAAACCTCTGTCAGAGAATTCAGACTGTCAGAATCAATATTCAGAGTGTCATTTGTATTCAAAGACACTTTTTGGAAATCAACACTCAACTGAAAGCCTGAACATAAATTAAAATGATAACTGTGCTGTGATAATTTCAAGCAGTGGTTCTCAACTGCTGGGTTTATGTTCTAATCTAGACAACAGGCAACAGGATGATAAATGTAAACTACCTGAGATTTTAAAGAAGTCTCTTATGTTCACCAAGGCTGCATTTATTTGATCAGAAATACAGTAAAAACAGTATATTGCTGATTTTTTGTTTACTTTTATACAGTACAATAAAAAATGTTGGTACTATGTTGAGTTGCCTTTTGAGTCTTGAAGCAAAACCAGTTGAGATGCACTGTGTTCAATAACACCATTCTAATGAGGCTATAAGTTCTTGTGACGTTTGTTGCACCTCAGGTTTCTAAACACCTCTATTTAAGTGCTGAGAAAGAATGTGTGTATTCGCACCTCTGCCTTCCAAAAGTTATTCTACTCCGAACAACAGCTTTGTTATTCTGCCATCATAACATTGGCGCAAAATACAATGCATTTCTGCACTTCTGTATCAAAAGGCTTCAGAAGTCAGCACAGACAGACAAGACCGTATTACCCTGCCTTTCTACAGTCTCTTCTGTTCTCTTGCACTGGGCAGATAGAGATAAAGAGGAAACGGTAGATGATTCCCTTTCTCATTTCCTCCTGTGACCCAGTAGCTCTTGCATGTCTCCAACACTCACGGTGCCCTTATTGAAAGTAAAAACCAATGGTAAATCCTGCCTGCATTTATGTGTCAAGCTTTGGTCTAATGCTGTTAATGTGTTGTAATAAAGAGATTGTTTCAGATAGAGGACAGCCTTTTTTCTATCTTTCATTAATTGCTTCTTTTCTTCTAATGAATGGAGGCTTGTGTGCGAGAGGATGACCTTTATTCATTGCTAATTCTCTTCGCGGTTAGAAGTGTCATTGTAGGGGTTTCAAATGATCAATGAAGCACTATTTCTATAGATGATAAGGACTTTTCATGCCATTGAGACCTCAGAATCTGATTGATGAATCTCCTTGTGGTTACAAAAGTTACCTTGTGACTAGGTTGCCAACTTCAGGAGGATAAAAACAAGTGACAACCTCGAACCTCCCTTTCTTAATACTACATTTCATTTAAGATTTAAAAGGATAGGTCTGCCTAAAATGAAAATTGTCATCATTTACTTGCCCTAAAATCGCTCCAGAAATGTCTTTTTACTGCAGGAAATGAAGGAATATATTTTTGTTTCGACTGTTCTTGTCCATATACAGGTGCATCTCAATAAATTAGAATGTCGTGGAAAAGTTCATTTATTTCAGTAATTCAACTCAAATTGTGAAACTCGTGTATTAAATAAATTCAATGCACACAGACTGAAGTAGTTTAAGTCTTTGGTTCTTTTAACTGTGATGATTTTGGCTCACATTTAACAAAAACCCACCAATTCACTATCTCAACAAATTAGAAAATGGTGACATGCCAATCAGCTAATCAACGCAAAACGTCAGTGGTGTCCGAAACAACACTAGACTTCATTGACTTTCAGTATATGGACAAAACACTGAGACATGAACAGAAATTAAATGCTGCATGATCACAGTATATGCCTGCAGCTATGTACTTCTTTATATCTGTAACATCTTGTAATGTCATACTGAAGTATCACGCATTATTACGCACATCAATTTAGCTTTTGCCAAGGCAGATTTTAACACTGGAGAATTATGACTCTGCATAATTCAAGATGACACTTGCTCAACTTGATGTTTTTAATATAGCAACAAATCCAGTTGAAACCCAGCAAATAAAAGTTAGCTAGAAGTATGTAACATCAATAACGTGACACTAGGATAAAAATATATGCACAAACAAATATTGGCCAAACCTGAATTTACTCCAGTCTTTAGTGTCACATGATCTTTCTAATATACTGATATACAGGATTCTTTGATGAATAGAATGTTCAAAAGAGCAGCATTTATTTGAGATAGGAATCCTTTGTAACATAATAAATGTCTGTTAATTTTGATCAATTTAATGCTAAATAAAAGTTTAAGGATGTAGTTCGCTAATTCTCTCTCTGTTTTCACAGCACTTCGTGCCATCGGTTCCAAACTTTAAGCCATCGATGTCTGTGCCTGATTGGCTCCATGCTGTCCAGAACTACATGAGAAACTTGCAGTATCCTTTACCCTCCACAAACCGTTTGCTCTGGAAAAGTTTAACTGATGTATTCTAAACCTCTGCTTCTTCTGGATGCATTATGGATTCATGGGCACTCATTTCTTTGGAGTGTCAGTTATGCTTTTTCGCTCAGTGTAATTTATTCAGTCAACTTGAGTTACTCAAAGTGCTTTTTTGGTTGGAGTGTCAGTCACTTTAATGTAGAGACATATTAGCATGGGTCTGCATACTTCTGGTAGTCTGATTTTTACCGTTTTCTTCCTCATGCTTTAAAGGCTGCCAGTGAAAATGGGTGGCTTTGATATAGATTAAAGGAATAGTTCACTCAAAATGAAAATTTGCTGGAAGTTTATACACCCTCAGGCTATCCAAGGTGTAGATGAGTTCGTTTCTTCATCTGAACAGATTTTGAGAAATTATTGATTAAAATTTGCATTACTTGCTCACCAATGGATGATCTGCAGTGAATGGGTGCCGTCAGAATGAGAGTTCGACACTTGATTAAAACATCACAATAATCCACAAGTAATCCACACGACTCCAGTCCATCAATTACAGTCTTGTAAAGTGAAATGTTGTGTGTTTGCATGAAACAATCCATCAAGACATTTTAAATTCAAATCATTGCTGCTAATATACGAGTCATCTATCCATAATATTATTTTCTCCAGTAAAAAAGTTGTCTTGTCTGAATCGGAAGCAAAAACACCATTACAAACGAAAACAGATTTGATGTTGTTTTTGATGTGAGAGGACAACGGGATGGACTTTTTCACTAGTGGAAGCATTATTATGGTTTATGAACGCAGCTGTTCACTTCACAAGATGTTAACAGATGGACTGGAGTAATGTGGATTGCTTGCTTATTATTGTGATGTTTTTTTTCCAGAAGTTTGAACTCTCATCCTGACGGCACCCATTCACTACAGAGGATCCATTGGTGAGCAAGTGATGTAATTTTGAATTTTTTCCAAATCTGTTTGATGAAGAAACAAACTCATCTACATCTAGGATGGCCTGAGGTTGAGTACATTTTAAGCAAATTTTCATTTTTGGCTGACCTATTCCTTTACGTTGGATATTGCCTTGTCTATGCTACTTGATCGTTAGATGACTTCAGCTGCTGTGGCTATTTATATTCATCATTGTGTGCGATTAATATATCAGCATCTGAATTTCCTCCCACAAATACAGCAATGTCTGTGAAGGGTAATGAGTATGTAGGGTTCAACAGGATATTGTTCGCAGCTGTGCATTTTGACACGCATGAGTCACAATGAAAAAACAGGAAAACAAGGCTTCCTAAATGAGCCGTACAAACTTCACGTAGCTCCTTAACTGCTGACAGATACAACCATACGGGAACGCAGTTTTTTGAGATTAAGAAAACCAGACCTCTGAGTGGGTAAGTGATGCCATCACTGAGGCATTTCATCATCTTGTCTGTCTACCCCGTCTTTCCTGTTTTTAGTCTTTTCTTTTTCCTGTTCCTTTTTGTTTTACACTTATTTTGTGCTCTTGGTGGAAAATCTCTTTTAAAAAGCAGGTGTGATATTAATTTAAAATAGTGCCAACATGCCTTTTTACAAAATATAAAGCTTATAACCAGACATGAAAACAAGTTTTAGGTTAATTTTAGATTGAAAAGAAGTCACTGACCCTGTATTGCATCAATCTTATCTCTTTCCAGGTTGATGGAGACCGCCAGAGAGATGATACGAGAATCACTTCCCATCAAATGCCTTGAAGCAGTTATCCTTGGAATGTATCCTTTAGCTTTACTGACAACAGTGTTGTTATTGTTAACAAATACTAAAACTATTAAAAACTGTTTTATTAATTGAAAAAAAAAAACAGAAATAAAATAAAATATAAATATTGTATGTGACCCTGGACCACAAAACCAGTCTTAAGTTGCTGGAGTATATTTGTAGCAATAGCCAAAAATACATTGTATGGGTCAAAATTATCGATTTTTCTTTTAAGCTAAAAATCATTAGGATATTAAGTAAAGATCATGTTCCATGAAGATATTTTGTAAATTTCCTACCATAAAAATATCAAAACCTAATTTTTTATTAGTAATATTCATTGCTAAGAACTTCATTTGGACAACTTAAAAGGCGATTTTCTCAATATTTCGATTTTTCTTGCACCCTCAGATTCCAGATTTTCAAAAAGTTGTATCTCGGCCAAATATTGTCCTATCCTAACAAACCATACATCAATTGAAAGCTTATTTATTCCGCTTTCAGAATACGTATAAATTTGTGGTCCAAGGTCACATATGACAAACGTTTAAGATAAGTTTAACGACCAAAATTACTAAAACTAATAATGAAATGAAAATAAATTAAAGATAAATAGAAATATTACGAGTAATTGTTAAAAAAATGCTATAATTGTGTACATAAATAATGATTGATTGAATGCATTCTCTCAGTTGAAATCAATGAAACATGCATGGATAAATAATTTACAATATGATCAATAACAAGCATTAGAAAATAGATAGATGTGGGTAGCACTCACACTTTCTTCCGAAAATGTAGAAATCTAGTGCCTTTTTGTTTTAGTCTTGAACATCTTTCAGTCCCTAATGTATAAATCAGTTCTTATAAAAGTAATTATCACCATCGGGAACATGGAGCACAGTTAATTTGTCATGGGAAAGCCCCATTTCTCCCTTACTTTTATTTTTATTGTTGATTTCTCAATTGCTGAAATTGGGATGGAGGACTAAGCAGAGATCTATCAAAGGCAATGTGCTTCAAATCACTGTCTTCCCTCATGATCCCCCACCCCTTCAACTCAGCCCGTAGCTTTTAGGCTCAGCTGTTGCTAGGAAACTAGGAGTCGTAGTAGATTCTCCTGAAGGGAGGCGCAGCTTCCTGTCCATGCAGTCGATGCAGCTGTGCCATTCAGTGCCACTGGGAGGGTGAGTTCTTTCAGGAACTATTAGTGTCAGTTAGCTCATCAGATCCAGGCCAAGGGTTAAAGGTGTGGTTGATTGCGATTTCACTTTTTTTAACGTTAGTTAGTGTGTAATGTTGCTGTTTGAGCATAAACAATATCCTCAAGGTGAATGTCATCTTTGTCCGTGCAAATGCCAAGTGCAGCAGAGAAATGTTGTGGAGATCTGCTTTGCAGATTGCGGTGTTTCACGAGAGCCGCAGTGAGGACTTCACTTTGAGTTAAGCCCTCATGGGTCATTAGTTGCAAATAGATGCTTTCGCTTCATGCAGATTTGTAGTGGAGAGCGGGAGGATGAAGGGTTCCAGTTTACGTCACTTTGAGATTTGTATCTTTGTGTACAAAACCCGTCTTTTAATCTATAGCGCTCTCAAGGGTTTTTCCTTCAGTCCCAGAGGACTCAAACATCATAACAATGAGTAGAGTATCAGAGAACACTGAGGCTATTGTTGTTGTAAATTTAAGGTTGCTGTAAGCCATTTTAAAAAAAATACTGCACATAAAAAGTTCTTACTAGACAAATATATAAATGGAAAAACAATCATGTTAAACCCTCATTCTGACTCTCTGTGTGAAATGATCCATTTTTAGTCATATGCAAATGTATTTGCCCTTATAACGTCACAAATCCCACAATATCCAAATGAGCCATTTCTACAGTAGAGCTTGATTAAATGATTAAATGTCATGACCCCTTTAAAAATCTGTTTAAATGAAAAAGAATAGCAGAATTCACACCACAAGTATAACGAAATGGTGCTGAAGAACAATATTGTTGGAATCACTTCCAAAACTTTTTTTTTTCAGCTGATGAATGATAAAAACATCGACAGCCAATCAGAATCCATTCTGCTTTAAAGAGTTTGAGTGTTTAGAGTGGCAGATGACAAAACTGCAGCGCGTGCTTATAATAAACAGAACTATCATTATTAATGATTATCATTATTGTTATCTTTGTAGTTCTTGGTGTGAACTTGCTTTTACCCAATCAGAACATAACCAATTGTGTGAGCTTGGGGGCGGGGCTATACCTAGTGCAATTCCATTTGTTGTTAATAGTAGCGCAGAAACCATTTATGACAACTTAAAAAAACATTTCAGTTGGGTCTGAACATCAAAAAGAAGATATCCCGATAATAATTTTTTCAACTGTAGGTGTCCACGATGGATTTACCCCAAAAAATGGGATGTAAAACTAGTTTAGGCCATATTCTTTTAAACTTTTTAAATCTGCAAGGTCAGCATTTTTAACTGTTATATCACAAGGACAACCCAAGGAGAAGTGTTTGGTCTTCACTTATTTTTCATACAAAATTTGGATAGAAATGAAGTTATCAAAAGACTGTCTGCATATTCAAATGAAGACAAAATGAAAACACGGTGTGCTTGGAACCTATAGCAGAAGTAATCCCCGCAGGTTTAAGTATGCGTGCATTGCAGATAAGAATGTTGAAATTCACGGCACTGCTGCTGAGAGGATCACATGGCCCTGCTGATGGGTAATGTGATCCTCTGGTGTCTTCTCATTACAACACTGCTGGGGGGTTTTGTGGGTGTGTGTATTTGTGTACACGGAGAGAGAAGGAAACTCAAAAGAGCTGCAGACGAACAAAACCACACTGAATGAACCTGTATTTACTTCGAATAACAACAAGTTTTGTGTTCAAAATGCTACAAAAGAATAATGGGCTTGAGTTAACAATTCTCCTTTTGAAAAAAATCTAAATGTAACTTTGCTTTCTCACTGTTTTGTCTTATTACGTATGATTCACCAGTGTAAAAAATTATTCTGTAAAAAATGTTTGCTTTACTTAACAAAATGTAAAGATTTTCACCAACCAGTAACAACGTTGCTGCTGATGATACCAAGGCCTCAATTAATATTAACCTATTTGCAGCCTACTGTTCGTGAGCCAAATCTTTTATTATTGCTTGGACAAAATGCTGCAGATTTCTTTGTCAAATTGAAATGTCGAATAGAAAACTAAATTGAAATTTTAAAATAAACAACAAATCAAATAAATAAATAATACAAATAAAAGAAATCTCTTCATTGAAATTGAAATACACTTTAAATACACTTTATTCATATGAACAAAGGCTTTGCTTGTGCTCTTTCCAATTACAATTAAAGGCAACCACTGTATTAATCACGATCCAAACAAAGATGCTGCATAAATGCAGCATGAGCAGTTATTTTATGTTCTGACTTTAGCTTTGTGAAACTATACTACATAAAACATCTGCACAAAACAAAAACAGTAGACGGGCTGAATGAGAACGCAATTTCACTCTCTGACAGCAGGTGGCGCTTATGGAACAACAGCGATACAGCGTTTCCTTGGTTACCACTGTAAATAAAGCAGCACTGCACTTATGAACACTACTATACTATGTATAATACAGAGGCAAGATGAAAAGAACATTCCATCTAAACTTTCCTAAAGACAGTCAGTTCCCCTCAGAGATACATTCATATGAAATCCCACTCCCAAATGTATCGCGATTCATTTAACATCTCAACCGATTTGAATGTGACGATTTGTGACAACCGGTGTATCATTACATCCCAACTGAGGAACAGCCTAACTGTTTGTGGACCACTGGAGTTTTTGATTTATAGATGAGAATGCTTGTGTTATGGAATACCAGCATATTGTGCTAGTGATTGTCTTTGAAAGGCAGATGGCAAAGCAGTGAAGCCATTCCAGTACGTTGCGTTGTGTTGTTAGAGACACATGGCTCAACAGATCTGTGGTATGTGCTCTTGGCTGACTTGGCAGCTTGAGCGATACCCAATAGGGCTGCACGATAAATCGCATGCGATATTTAATGCGCATCTTATTAGTAAAGCCAGTTCTGTAATCAGCGGTAAATCTCCATCACGTGCGGGCTTTCACATTGAGCAGCATGAACTACACAGAGCCGTTGTTCACTGACGAGCTGCGCAAAACCACGATCATATTTTGCGCATGTTTTGCGCAGCTTGTCAGTGAACAACGGCT